TAAACACCTCGAACAAAATAAATTGTTGCCCAAGCATAAAGAAAATATCCAGGAAATGAATGTGAAATTGAGCCAAGGTCTGGATTTGTCTGATAGTTAGATGTTCGTGTAAGTTCACTATAAATGCTCGCCGATATAGGTGGAACTTGACTATAAGTGTATCCGTCTGCCATCCTAGAAGATGCTTTAAAAGTCTCGACTCTTATACTTTCGTCCCCAGACAAAAGAACGAAGCGACAAAGCCATAGGGAGAGATAGGCTGCTATCTCTAATTTCTCTTCTTCTTCCATAGATAGAGATACTAGAAAATTGTCCCAATGACGTCGATCCCTACGAGTAATGTCTCTCGGCTTGTCTACCACCACGGGCCTCCGTATTTCCTTCAATGTTCTTTGATGGCGCCTTTTGAATGGATTTAAATTCATAGCATTCTTATAATTTTTGTGTTGTCGAGGGTTCGGGACACAACCATTCTAATGAAACCAAAAATTAATCCACTGTTTGTGAGTAACTCTGTCAGATTCATTCGCATGGGCAATCAATGCGAAAACATTAAAGAGATAAAAACAAGACTTGGGAAGATGATCCGTCAACTCTGAAAGGCTTGGGACTACTTCCTCATAATAATGACCCATGATCGAGAGTCCACTTATCTCGCAGATGTCCCAAAGAGAAATGCCAATTTCACCATTGGCAGTCACAAAGGTGTTGGTTTCTGGACACCAAACCTCACAAAGAGCTCTATAAATGGAGTTTGGGCGATGGTAATCTTTTGCAGCAGAACTGACTACAAAAGCTAACTCGCGGAGGTTCCTCTTGAGCAGAAGTTTCTGGACCCACATAGACCACTCCCAAAATTTTGGAAGAAAAGAAATCTCTCCTCGACTTACCTGTGCACTTCCCCCTTCGTATTTTTCTATTATCAATTTTCTCACAAATCACAGCCCTTGGAATGTACTCCATGCTCTGGGAATGATGAGGCAGAAGACACAAAAAGGGAAGATGACTGCTAGAGCGATTGGACTTGCCAGTAGCCAAACTCTCGTGACGTTCACTAATGGTGGACATATGCAACTCTGACAATGGCTCCAGAAGGTCGGGGGAAGGATCTGTCATTGGCTTATGGACACTAAATTTAAGTTCACCTCGTACGCTGGTCTGGGCATGGTACTTCACATCAGTATCTTTGAAACGCAAATAACTTTTGCCTTGATTTTTAAGCTCAACAATTTCGTGCATGTCAGAGCACACTTTATCATCAGAACTTGTTCCAGCCATGCCTGCAAAAAAAAATGTCGGCCAAAAAAAAGGGGGGTAGTAAACCTATCAAATTGGTTTATTGTTTAAAATCTCGAGTCTCCCAAATATGTAAGCAGCCTCTATAAAAATGTCTTGGACGATTGAAGGAGCCAGTCCTTGATCCTCAACACAAAATGTCTTGGACAGTTGAAGGAGCCAGTCCTTGATTCTTAACACGAAGTGCCTTGGACGATGGAAGGAACAGGTCCTTGGTCTTCAACACAAAGTGTCTTGGACAGTTGAAGGAGCCAGTCCTTGGTCCTCAATACAAAGTGCCTTGGACAGTCAAAGGAGTCAGTCCTTGGTCCTCAACACAAAGTGTCTTGGACAGTTGAAGGAGCCAGTCCTTGATCCTTAACACGAAGTACCTTGGACGATGGAAGGAACAGGTCCTTGGTCTTCAACACAAAGTGTCTTGGACAGTTGAAGGAGCCAATCATTGGTCCTTAAAACAAAGTGCCTTGGACGGTCGAAAGAGTCAGTCCTTGATCCTTAACATGAAGTGCCTTGGACGATGGAAGGAACAAGTCCTTGGTCTTCAACACAAAGTGTCTTGGACAGTTGAAGGAGTCAGTCCTTGGTCCTTAACACAAAGTGCCTTGGGCGGTCGAAGGAGTCAGTCCTTGGTTCTTAACACAAAGTGCCTTGGAGAATTGAAGGAGCCAGTCCTTGGTCCTCAACATAAAGTGCCTTGGACGATGGAAGGAACAAGTCCTTGGTCCTCAACACAAAGTGTCTTGGATAGTTAAAAGAGACAGTCCTTGGTCCTTAACACAAAGTGCCTTGGACGATGGAAGGAGCAGGTCCTTGGTTCTCAACAAAAAGTGTATTGGATGGTGAAAAATGGCAGTCTTTGGTCCTCAACAAAAAGTGTATTGGATGGTGAAAAATGGGAGTCCTTGGTCCTCAATGTGTATGAAGGTTTGCAATTTTAAGTTTGTTCATAAGTATGTATTTCCTGAACTCATAGAACAATTGCAACATAAAAAAAAATAAAAAATAAAAAATAAAAATTCTAACATCTTCACGAAGAAAATCTTGATTCGCTCCAAAAAATTGAAACCCTAAAAAAAATGAAGAATATTAGTTTCAATTTTGTTAAAAATAATCACACCAAAATAATCAACACAAAAAAAAAGGAAAAAGAAAAAAGAAAAAGAAGAGGGTCAAAATAAAGGGGCAATTAAAAAAATAAATAAATAAATAGATAGGTAAAAAAAAGGAAAAGAGAAACAAAAAAAAAATAGGAAGTTACGTGTATATATATATAGAAATGAAAGGTTACCTGTTTTAAAATAAAAAATCAAAAAAAATGAAAAATGTGACTTTTTCTACTAAAACCAATTGGAATTGGTTAATTCAATTACAATTGGCGGCAGAATCCGCCGCCCTAGAATTTTTTTTTTAATAATAAAAGGTGACTTTTTCTGCTCAAACCAATTCCAATTACAATTCGTTTTCGCCGCCCTAGAATTCTTTTTTTTAATCATATGTTTCTGCTTTTGCAGAAACCGATTTAAAAAAAAAAAATTTGCACAGCAGAAACCTATACCGATTCATGTCTCTTCATGTGGCAGAAACTAAGAAGAATTAACAATAAAAATAAAAGAAAGAAAAAATAGAAAATGGGCGAGAGAAAGAGAGTAAAAAAATAAAATAAAAAATAATTTGTTTACCTTTGTTTGTAAGGTTTAACAGATTTGTTTTCACATCTACTAATTTCTTCATATAAATAGGCGGGTAACAGACTTCACTTAAACCCAATTTACCATGAAACGTAAAAAGCCTGTTCAAATCAAATTTTTTTTATGGGTCTATTAAATAAATAAATAATCAAAATTCAACAAATAAAAGATAAAAATAAATCTTATTCTCGAATTTGAAGGATAAGAATTTTATCAAATTCACATTTTATTCTCAAATATTTAAATGTTTGAGACCAAATCAAATATAAAAAAATCAAAATCGAACAATTCAAAAAAAAATCAAGATTTATTAATTTATTTATTTCATAATAAATAAATAAATCTTGAGGGGGTATTTGTAGATATAAAAATAAAATAAAATGAAATGGATTGGATCGATTTAAATCATTAGCCCAATTAAATTAAAATCTACTAAGGTCCATAAATCCAAAGGCCCATATCATATTTTAAATAAATAAACAAACAAATAAATAAAATCATAATTACTCAATTATCTCTTTTAATTAGATGTAATTGATTAATTACCAAAATTAGCGCGAATTCTCGCCTATAAATAGGACCAATGGTCCATAAGATAGGATGACACAGAAAGGAAGGAAGAAAGAAGGTAGAGAACGCCATGAAGTGCTGAAAAAATCCCAAGGCTGAAAGAAGGGAAGAAATTCCGTCAAACCTAAACTCGGTGAGCCCCAAGAAGATTAAAATCTTCTTCGAATCAAACAGGTTCACGCCAAGTTCGAAAAGATCAAAGTCTTCTTCAATTCAAATCAAATTCAAGTCCAAGCCTTAAGATTCATGTTCCAAACAAGTCAAATCTCGACAAATCAAATTTTCAACAAATTATTGAAGACCAAGATTCAAGCCACGTGGCCCCTCGTCTTCAAATATTCAGATCATTAATCAGAGAATTTTACAATTTTGCAATTACAAGAAAGTCAACATCACTTGTATTTATCAAAATATAATTTGTAATGAATTCTGTATTTTAATACACGAGATTTCGTCGTACAATCTCGTAATTGATCGGATCATATTGATGAAGGGATTATAGTTTCACGGTAAATGAACGAGTTTGATTTTGTCATACCACGTGACATTTCCCATCACATGTATTGCCCTGACACTTTGCTAGATGTCGATTTGGGACAGCGAGTGTGAATTGGTGTTAAATTAAAAAGGTATTTTAATTTATCAATTTTGATTAAATCAAAATAATATTTCACGTCGTTAGGCATCGTGATCGGGAACCTGATGAGTCGCACACAAAAGGAGAACTGGAATATTGTAATTTGTCAATTAATTAATTTAACAAGTGTTGGATAAATTAATTAATTGGTTTGGTTTTTTATAGGCTCGAATTAATTAATTGGATTAATTAATTTATGGATCGAATTTAATTTAAATATGTTAATTAAATGTTGGACCGGATCAGGCCAAGCTCGTTCGGGCTTATATAAATATGATTAGGGTTTGCAAAATTGTATAGAATTTTTCATTATTCTTGCTAGTACAAGAAAAATCCTAATATTACAATCTTGTTCTCTGTGTGGATCACCGTTGGAAGCTGGACAATTGGACAGCTATGGGTGACAGATCAAAGCTGCTGGAACAAGGGAAAAACAAATAAGTTTGCAGATCTCGAAAAAGATACAATTTTTATCACAGTTTTTATCTAAACACAAAGACGATTCTTTGTGGGAATCGAAATTTATTTTAATTTTCCGCTGCGCATGTTAAGTAGATTCCAAACAGAAACACTGTAGTCATCCATTGAATTTGCCAAGGATGTTCTTTGGCCTCTTTCTACTACATGGACATAGATATGAAGAGAGAAATTTAAGGTAAGTACGTATACATTTGTAGCACACTGACAAATACTGCATTTGGCAGAGATATTTTTTATACGAAAAGACCATTAGATCGTTAGTTTGCCTCAAAGTTTCAAAGATAAGTTGGGAACAATAAAGCTATTCAAACATATGGGATGACCAAAGTGGTAACCGAATGATGTGGAAAATGGGTCTTAAAAAAAGGAAAATGAAAAGTAATTTACATCAAATCCATCGCTTCAACCGGTTTGGGCAACCATTTGTTTATTATTAGGCGGGCAAAATTCAACCCAATTTCCTTTCCATTTTACCTCTTTTGGTGCAAATTCCAGACAACTTTCTGCTTTATTTTTTTACCTCGTGCTTCGACGACGCCTGTTCAACGAGGAGAAAGCTACCATTCGAAATTTGGCTACACATCTACCTATTCCCAGCTTCGCTCGCTCAAGAAGATGAACGGTAAAGGTATTGGGTTCCATTGATTTTTTATTTCGTTGTTACAAATAATAACTTGACATTTTTGTGGTCTTTCTACTGATTTGCCATTATCTAAATTTACTATTTTCGAGCATTTTCATTAACCCAACACAAATTGGAACATTTTCATTTATCTCTTACATATACTATTTTCCCACATTTTTCATCCGAGTAGTAAGTTGTTGGTTTTGGGGCTTTAATGTGTGATCAGTTGAGAGGGGTTTTTTCAACTGTAAAGAATTGGAACATTGTCATATGCCTCATTTATATGCGAATTTCCCTCATTTTTCATCCTAGTCGCGAGTTGTTGATTTTGGGGCTTTGCTGTGTGATCAGTTGAGGGCGTTTTTTCATCTGTAATTACTGCATAACGATACTAAGCCTATTTAGAATTTTTGTTTAAGTATTTCTGCAATGGAATTTTGTTATTTTCTTTGTACAGGAAGTTAAATATAGTTTTATGAATTATTTTATTGTTATGCTTCTTTAAACATTGTAATTGATTTTTTTTTGTTGCGGGAAAAGAAATTGTGGACTATATGGATGACATTATTTTGTTGGGTTCCGATAATGAAAATGTTATGGATAATACGAACAGAGTAGGTGATGATATGTTAGTCGAAAATAGTGCGATTGTGCCTGAGGTGGATATGAAATTTAAGGATGAAAATGAAATGTTCAAGTTTTACAAAAGATATGCATACGACATTTGTTTCCCAGTTAGAAAAAGAAATTCAAAAAAGGATGATGACGGAATATTGAGATATATTACATTTGTTTGTAGTCGTGAAGGGAGAAGAATCCAAAATACGAGCGGTTCTTTCAAGCCATAAACAACGATTCAAAGTAGATGTAAAGCCAGGATAACTGGATGTTCAGATATTTCTGGTGTATGGAGAATCAACACAGTAAACCTCGATCACAATCATAAAACAAGCCCTTCGAAGTCCAGGCTATATAGATGTAACCGAGAATTGAGTGCACATGTGAAACGACGACTTGAAGTAAATGACTTGGCTAGAATTCCATTGCACAAAAGTTACAACTCTATAGTTGTTGAAGCGAGTGGATATAAGAATATGACTTGCATAGAAAAAGATTGTCGAAACTATGTTGAAAAAGTTAGACGATTAAGATTGGGAGAAGGAGATGCAACAGCGATATAATCATACTTTTCTAAAATGCAAGCACGGTGCTCGAGCTTTTACTTTAGTATAGATTTGGATGAAGAGTTGCGGTTAAAAAATGTGTTTTGGGTAGATAACAGGAGTAGGCAAGCATATAAGAAGTTCGATGATGTTGTCACCTTCGACACCACGTACCTCACTAATAAATATGACGTGCCTTTTGCCCCTTTTGTTGGAGTGAATCATCATGGACAATCTACACTTCTTGGATATGGTTTGTTATCGAATGAGGATACAAATATGTTTGTGTGGCTATTTCGGACATGGATGGAATGTATGCATGGGCAAGCTCCCCATGAGATAATAATAGATCAAGACAGGGCTATGTAAATTGCAATTCAAATCGTATTTCCTAATACAAGGCATAGATGGTGTTTGTGGTACATATTGAAAAAGTTGTCCGAAAGTTTGGATACCGCATGGAAAAGGGTTCAATATTTATTACGATACATAGTTTGGTCTACGATTGTCAATTTATAGACGAATTCGAAAACGGATGGAGAGTGATGATTTAAATATATAATTTGTATGATAATGACTGGTTGGCGGGTTTGTAATTTGAAAACCACATTTTGGGCAGGGATGTCAACAACTCAGCGTAGCGAGAGTGTGAATGCGTTCTTTGATGGTTATGTGCATTCAAAGATGACGCTGAAACAATTTGTTGAACAATATGAACGAGCACTGAGAAGTAAAGTTGATAAGGAATTCCAAGCAGATTTCAAGTCTTACTCGCAAATGATACCGTGTGAAACGAGGTATGAAATGGAAAAGTAATTCCAGACAATTTATACAATTTTGAAATTCAGGGAAGTTCAAGAAGAGTTCATAGGTAAGGTTTATTGTGATCTCATATCGACTTTCGAGGGATGTTCAGGGACAATTTATGAGGTGCAAGAGGACGTAATACATGATGATCATTCTAAGAAAAAAATGTTTTTCGTCTCATTTCAAAGAGAAAAATGTGAAATTACATGCAGTTGTAACTTTTTCGAGTTTTGGGGTATTATTTGTCGACATGCGATCGCAGTATTGATTCGTAATAATGAGAAATCAATACCGGAAAGATACATATTATGGAGATGGCAACGCGATGTGACCAGAGACCACACGAGGCTCACAATAAACTATGACGGTTTGATCAGTACTCCTGGATAGTTAAAGTATGACAAAATGTGTCAACATTTTGCAACACTGGCAAACATGACTGCATTATGAAGTTAAATCCGATGCTATAATTGAGTGGATTGACACTCAGTGTAATCAGATGATGAGGTCGAAGTCTATTTCTGTTAGTAATGTCATGTCCTCGCATAACAATCAGATAGCCTTGGAGAGTGGAGCATCACAGGATACTAAAAGTGGTAGCATATGGGATCCAATATGTGTCAAAAGAAAAGGTGCGCCAAAGAAACTTCGCAAGAAAAGCCCAATGGAATCAAGTTTGAACAGAGTAAAGGTAATTCCTAATTTTCTGTATTTGAAGGTCGTAAAGTCCATATATGTTTATACTTTTCATAATATTCTGATGTTTTACAGGCAACTTTGAGTTCAACCAAAGGGAAGAGACTTAAGGAATCAAGTAATATGGGAGATGTTGCACCTGTCATCAAGTTACCTCAACAAGTACCTATGCCAATACCATTGTCATATACACAACTCCTTCTGGTTTGTAGATGATTTATTTTCATCGAAAAAATATGATTTACTAATAATGTTATTTCTTGTAGGGTGGCAATCATGATCTTCAATTCACACAACACCTGCAATCCACATGTATCGTCCTTCCAACAAGTGTTATATTCAATAGTCAAGGTAAAACATCTACAAGAAGAAAAATATATGTCATTATTGTCCAATGTTTTTGGGATTAGATTAAAATGAAATTGTATTTGATTTTTCACAGGTTGGGATAGACAACATTTGCATGATGCTACTGGCAGTGATGCAAAACAGTCAGAAATGCATGGTGGTGGAGGATTTGCATAATTTTTCACAAGTCTAGAGCAGAATGGAAGTTGAAGAGTAATTAATCTTACTTCATTGAAGCAAGTTAGAATGGTGAAGAGTATATTTCTAACACTTCGTAGCATTTTTAGCTAATGTAAGGTATAATTAGCTGGGTATGATTTTGTTCTTCCACTGTTCTATGGCTGAAGAAATCTGGTTTAAGACCAATGTTGCTGGATTGTGTCAAAATTATCTTGTTGTGATTGTACCGAGAAACCATCTTTTATTCTTAATAGAGTTGGAGTTGGCAACATAAATTATTGAAAGGGAAGTTTTGTCTCGATAAAGTTGGATTGGCTGCATATATTATTTGTATCCATTTTCGTTTGTTGTGAATACCCTTTGAAAATGCTCGTAGTAGATCTTTAAATTTAAGTTATATGGAGAGACATAACACACTTTAATATTGCTTTTGGATGCTACTTGCAATGTTATGAGTTTGCACTCTAAATGTAAGAATTTACAGTTTTAGTGTTGCATAGGATTAGGCACATGCACATTTGTTGAAGTCATGTATTATTACTTTATGATCTTGCATATTATAGTTAGTTTCAACTAAACTATCCATTTTCGTTTGTTGTCATTTACACTATTATGATTATAGGTGTTTTTGCAAACAATTTAGGGTACTGGAAGCCAAGGACAGCGAGAATTTACAGCCATCACTTATGTTATATTTACATAGAATTGCTGTGTTTTTGGTTGGGGAATTGACATTTTTTGAAGTTGAATTGATAATCAAGTTTTGTTTGACGACCTTTGAAGCATATAAACAATCATCTGTCCAAGATGACAGGTTGAAAGAGGCTCTAAATAGATGTGAAACGAAATAGAATAATGTGACAAATTTCAAACAAATACATTAATATGAAAAATTTCATTACAAAAGTTCATTTTTGTCCACAAAATCTAGTCCAGATTTCTCCCTAGGACATCCAGTCGAAGGTAACTCAAAACTTACAACTCTAAGAATGAAACATAAATTTGAACTACCAAGTTAACCAGCATCAAAGATAACATTCATTTCAAGAAAACATATATTCACATAACTGAAATTACAATTTCATATAAAGGAAAGTACAATTCTAGTCGGCCCAATTCCAATCTCATTCCCTTCAATTACGTGTTCTTTCTTTGCGTAAAGTCACATTCGTAGAAATCTCTGTGTCTTGTTCATCAGTTAACCGTGCTCTTTCTTTCCTCTCATGGTAAGCTGAGAATCAAACACCTAATAAGATAAAATTTGACAAAGAATCGTTTAGTGAATCTATAGTGTGGAAATTGCCTTCTTACTATTCCATACTTTCCATTACATTATGACAAATTGCCAATTATGCCAAACTAAGATTGATACAAAAAAAAAAAGGGAACATATCACAAAGATCATGCTAAAATAATCCTTCTCAAGAAACGAAAATAAGACTTTCATACATCTCAGCTCCACAAACAGATTACTCCCCATGGCCCTATCCCCCACTTTCTATCTCATAATCATTCAGATTTTACCCTCGTCAAACAGTAGCTTCTAATATTAGAGCGATAGTAAGTGATGAACTCGTCCAAATTATTATAATCACTAAATTGTCAGTAACTAATTTGAAAAAAAAAATTGAAGCTTTTATAAATTTTCTCCAACTTAATTAATTGACATTAAAATATCGAATATTAACAATTCTGTTTTACACATTAATTATAAAGGCAAGCATACCGTGCTTCCCTACCGGTCCTTGATGTCGACTTCGGCGCCACAATGGAGAAGCAAGTCGATAACATCAGTGCAGCCCTGACAAGCCGTTAAAAACCCACAGCCATGGCCAGCACAAATTTCATCCAACCCTCTTACAATTCCACCTCCAAAGCTGTAATATTTGTGATGGGTTTTACTCTGCCTTTCACTTATATGTATTTATACTTGAGTTTTTACAGATCTGGTCCGAGAAGATGGGTTGTGGCATCCACGATTCAACAAAAAGCGGCCAAACTTCTTGCTAAAATAAAGGAAAGGTCGAATATTTCGACAACGTGCATTCCGTTTCAGAAGATGGCATCTCTATCGTCGCTAGAGTAGAGTCGTCGATGGGTTCTATGGAGGGATGGAAGAATCTGAGTTGAATAGGGTTATTTGAGGGTGAAATGGGTTATATATTTTGGGCCAGTTTACATCACGGTATTTTCAAATTGCAAATGATATGGTTTATTAAACAAAAAAAAGGAGAAAAACAAAAGACCACCTCATTCTGTCAAGCCGCAGGTCAACCGATTCAGGCAACGTAGCAGAATTGAGTTGAGAAATCAATTAAAGGAGAGGTGATAATAGAGTCATTTACAGCTGGATGGAACAGCACAAAACCAATAAAAAAAATTTGAATTGTAAAACAGTAGAGATAATGGGCATTGAATAGCGTTTTGTGAGAAGGAATTCACAAATGAATAGTACTTGACAAATTCTCTCTTTTAAGAGAGTAGAGATATATATATTTTTGATAAAAGAAGCAGGATTTACATACTCTCATAACATAATCAAATTGCATAGACAAGCAATAAAGCCCTAATCAACAGAAAATGAGAGTCAAATTATGAATATGTGTGATAATATTTTTTGCAACAGATTTATAGAAAAACGAATTGGTGATTATGTTTAGAGAATTTATTGGTGAGTGATTTAAGGGAGAGACGATCTGGAGGTGATTTTGGTTTGGAATACAAAAGGACACTATTTTAGGGATTTTGTGATTAATTTGACATGTTAAGGGCATGTTTGTTAGAACGTAATTTAATGGGGCGTTTGTTGGAATAAACTTAGCTAAGTAATGAATAGCATGTATGACTTGGTTAGTTTTTCACATTTCTATTTTACTATATAAAAACAATATTCATGGTTTAAAAAAAGTTGCATAATATATTCTTAATATTTATTAAAAAGTAGGCGTGTCACATAGTTTCTTCAATTGAGCATGGGTTTGGGATTTAAATTGATCCTCTAATTATTCAAAATATCTAAATTGATCTCCCAACTAATGGAAACATCTAAACAGATCCCCTTATAAAATGGAATATCTAAGTTGACCATCCAACTTTGGTGACATTGAAATTCATCATCCAACTAAAATGACATTTAACTTCATCCTCCAACCACTAAGAACCTTCTCATTGACCCTCCAACAACTAGAAACATCGAAGTTAATCCTCCAACAATTTGTAACTACAAACTGGTCTTCTAACTAAAGCAAAATTCTAATTTGAACCTTTGGTAATTATAAAACTCTTAATTGATCCTCCAACTACTTGAAACTACAAAACTGATCCTCAAAGTAATTAAAATTCTAATTTGACCCTTAATCTATAAGAAATTTTTTAAATGATCCTCCAACTACTGGAAACTACATAACTAATCTTCAAACTAATAGAAAATCTTAATTTGGCCCTTCAACAATTAGCAAATTCTTAATTGATCCTCCAACTATTAGGAACTACAAAATTGACTCTCCAACTAATGGAAAATCCTAATTTGACCCTGAAGAAATGAGGAAATTCTGAATTGATCCTTCAATTATAGGGAACTACAAAACTAGTCATGCCAACAAATTGAAATCCTAATTTGACGTTCTTGCAATGAGGAAATGCTAAACTGATCCTCCAACTATTTGGAACTACAAAATTGATCCTCTGAGTAATTGAAAACCTAGTTTGACCTTTCAGAAATTAGTAAATTCTTAATTGATCATCCAACTATTTTGAATTACAAAACAAAATGCTGTTGATTGACAATTCTAACTATATGAACTCAAAAATTGATCCTTCAAATATGAAAGACAAACAAATTCATCCTCAAACTATTCGGAACTTCTAAATTGATCCTTCAGATAGTATCAGCATCTAAAAAGATCCCCCTAGTACTCGAAAAATCTAAATTGGCCGTCTATCTATTCTTAACATTTAAAATGATCCTCACACTAATTTGATGATCTAAATTCATTCTCCAACTATTAGGAAATTGTGGTCCTCAAAGTACTCTAAACTCCTTATTCGATCCAAACTATTTAGAATATCTAAATTGATCCTCTATTTAATAGGAACATTAAAGTTCTCTCCGACCATTGCAAACATTGTAAATCATCCTCAAAATATTAGGAACTTCTAATTTGATCCTCCATATATTCATAATATCTTGATATCATCCTCTTACTAAATAGGATAACTAAAATGATCGTCCAATAATTCATAATATTAAATTTAATCTTCTAACTATGTAGAACATTTAAATTGATCTTCCATATTCAAAAGATCTAAGTTGGCCCTCTTACTATTTTGAACATAGGAAATCTACCTCCAAATGCTAGGAACTTCTAATTCGATCCTCCAGCTATATATACCATATGATTTGATCATCCAACTATGTCACAAAACTAAATTGATTGTCACAATTTGGAACATCTATTTTGATCCTTAAATTATTAAGAATATCTAAATTGATCCTCCATCTATTTCATATATTTAAGTTGACCCTCCTACTATTTAGAAATTCATCCTTCAACGCTCTATTATCTAATGAGTGAGAAGATAGTAATAAACAATATAAAGTAAATTAAATAAATGTATAAAAAACAATAAAATAAATATATTTCTCATTTATGTTCCATTTACCTTAATTTCCCAATGAATAAGGACTTGTTCGGTAATGATTATGATAATTGATTTTTGGATTGTTAGAGAGAAAAATAGGTCTCATTTGTGAGAAAAAAATAAAAAGACGACGATTGAAATAGTAAAATAATAATTTAAAAATTAATTTTTTTAAATAAAAAATTAATGCCAAACATGTACCGACCCTAATTCCAAAAGAGGAATTAGTGGCCAACAGCCGGTTGACCCGGCCAGTTTTCCAAAGAGGCCTTTGACCAATTAAAAAAAAAAAGCAAAATGTTTAAAATATTGAAAATCAAGAGAAATCCAAATTTACCCTTACTATTTAAAGAAGAAAGAGAAGATAGTAAAGAAAGAGAAAAAATATTGTAGCACTGATAAAAAAGAGAAAATAGACGATCCATATTTAATGTTTTTATGTTGATATTTGGAAGAAGAAAAACATGATTTTGTATATATGTGTTGATTTTTGGAAAAATGCATGATTTTTGGGTAAGGATAATAGTTTGGGAGAAGTCGAAAATGGAGTTTTCCGGCGATCTCCACAAAGGAGACGTAAGCCCAGCTGACTTGACCGATTAGGCATGCCCAGATGACCCAGACTCACCCAGACGGCCCAGTTGACTGGGCCGGCTGGGTGCCCAGTTGACTGGGCCGGCTGGGTGCCCAGTTGACTGGGCCGGCTGGGCGACCAGTTGACTCGGCCGTCTGGGCCAGTCAACTGTGCCCAGACGACCCAGTCAACTGGGTCGCCTGGGCGCCCAGACGGCCCAGTCATCTGGGTCGACCGCCAGAGGCCCAAATTTTTTTTCAAATTGCTTATTTATTTATTTCCTTTAATTTTTTAAGTTAACTATTTATTTTAATTACTTATATTGTGTTGTCTAATATTTAATTATTATTTGAATTGTTTAATTTTAATATATATTATGTATTTAAAATTATTTCTTTGAAATGCTTAATATAAATGTTTTATTATTTATCTAAATATTTATTATTTGCCAATTTAGTTTTAATTACTTATTTTATGTTAAGTAATAGTAAAAAAATTAAAAGATATAATTAAATATTAAATAAGTAATATACATAAAGAACTTAAATAAATATTTAAACATCTGTAAAATAATAAATAAGTAATTAAATTAGAAAATTAAAATATCAATCAAATTAAATTTCTGCAAATCAATTAAAATAAATTTGTAAATATTAAATAAGCAATATGCATAAAGAATTAAAAGAAGTATTTAAATATTAATTTAAAAATAA